ATAATTAACACTATCTCAGATATTAGGTTTCTGAATCATTTCTCGTGCTTGGTACCACGAAAAGGCTACCCCGTTCACCTAGATATCGTGTTGGATGAACAAAGATCTCACTCAAGCAAAACTTTAAATATTTAATTGGACTATAAATTGAAGAATACAGGAAAGAACAGAGTACTGAAATTTTACTTTTTTCCTGTTCCACCTCAATAGTATGATTTTTTTATTTTCTTTCGTCTAGTTCCCATATATTACTTTCACCAATTGAATATAAGATAAAATAGGTGCGGTAAATAATAAATAATATTGCATTTATTGTCATGTGGCCCTTATCTCCTAACTTTGGATACATGACAAATTTTACCTACGACCGTTTTTTTTTTAATTAGCCGTTTCAGTTTAGTTCTTAGAATTGAAAAGATTTACTAATAGCATTGTTTACTTACTTAATAGTATTGTTTGTTTTTTTTTTTTACCTAACAACACAAGTAACGGACCAATGAGGTTCAAGAATTGAGAGAAAATAACTAAACATTTTATGCTTCGAACTTCAACTAATCAGCTGATCGGGACAATTTAATTATTGAAATGATTCGTTGCATCACGGTCAGTGGCAATGAGAGGTTAGTTATATAAACAAAAACATAGTCTTAACGCGATTGTTGAGTAAACTACTATTACATTTCATTTTTCGTATCATTTATCCCCAGACACACAGTGTATCCAGTCTGTTGGGAGACGGGGAATAGTTAGCCTATGTACGTGTGTAAAACGACATTATTGGCATTTTATTGTAGTATTGTACTAAAATTGACCCTAACGTACTTTATCAGTTTCTTGTTGCAGCAAGTATATATATATATTTTTTTTTGGACCAATTCGAAATTGTTTTAATCGTATTTCTTACTATGGCATCAAAACTTCTCTTAAGTTACTTACGAAAAATATTTGTTTTGGAAATACTGTAAGTAATTCTGAACCATCTCTAATTTCTTTACCTCTTCAAATGTATGTATTTTCTTAATTTCATCAGTTGTATGAAATGTAACACAACATTCGTATGAATAGCGTTCTTTGGTCTGCATACAAATGGTTACAAGGGTTTACTGGTACACCTGGACGGCTTGCGTTATTTTTAACTCTCAAGTGTTACTACCACAAGGTTCAACAAACAAAATCAATTTCTTGGCTAGTTTACTTCCAGTTGATATTTGCCAGATATGCTGAAATAAAAACAGTAACTATACAAAAATAATTCGAATGACATCTTTCAACACGATTTGTCATTCATTTATTGTACGTGCGGCAAACTCCCCATTAAATCTGGACTCCAGATTTCACTTAATCCGGAGAACTATATTGAGGTAGTTGATTGACTTTTCATTTACAATAAGTTAACTAATTTTATGAATAAACTGTGTAAATGTAATCTAAATCTGTAATCTCGATTCTTTACATACAAGGGGACCCAAGAGTCCTGAAGTACTGGTGCATTTCTTCATTATTTTCATATTAGAATTTTCATTGATAAGGACACCCAATTAGTACGGACTAATGAGGTTAAGAGTAACACGAGTAGTTTATGACTAGGATTTAAACTGTAAAGCTGTAAAATAATCATCCTATTTTCCCTCATGTCACATTTTTATGTAAAAGACTTTAGATGTCTATAATGTCGAAGTCTACGTCATATGGTTCTGTATTATATTACTGACTATAGAGTATGATTATAAATAATTTTCCCTTACTCCGTCAAGAATATGCTACGCTACAGACAACTAATCATAGCGGAAAGCGGCGGTTGTAAAATTAAAAGTGATTAGATGTTTCTACAGTAAAACCTGCCTTAAAACTGTGATCTGTTACTGTTTTGACCTTGCACAGACAACACAATAGTTCACGCTAATGCTAATATCCACTTCATATCCAGTACGTTTGAATGAACTGATTAAGTTTCAGTTAAGTGAATTCCTATTTAGGACAACTTAAACAAATACAACACAACATTCGGCAAAATAATTTTGAATTTGGTAAAGTGAAACTTATGTAAAAGGAAACTTAATATTGAGTGGTTTATCGGCATAAAAGTACCTACTGTATTATCCTCTTTACCTCTTTCATAATTATGATTATATTAAAGGGAGTATAATATGTTTAATATTTAGTTCGATTTTAAAATCGACACTCACATTTTAAAAAATAATTTACAATCTAGAACCAAAGACACGGTACGTATTTAACCGTAAGTAACTTGCTAACAACTTTTTTGCACAATTGCGATCAGTACAAGTCAACCTTTATCAACTGTTAACACAAAACAATGTTAACGACATTTTGTAAGCATCATTGAGTGACGTTGGCCACAACAATATTTTACAACTCAGTGTAGCCCAGTGTGATATTTAACTTTACGATCTTGGATACGATACGACCTATAGTGTGTTTTCACAATCTTGACCTTTGAACTCCCACCTGACTGATAACTACAAGGGAAGATTACCTGAACGACCAGTTCCAGCCCGCGGTCTTGTGTGATTAGTTACCCGTAAACACCGCAAATTTGGCTATAACTCCGGCCAAGTCGGCGGGAGGTGTAGAGACTTTGGGAACTGTTTCAGAAAGTAACTGGTTCCAGCAGAGTTTATTGTTTGAACTTTGTACCTTTTCGTTAAGATCTGTTAAGATCGTTAAACCTAGTTCCATTGTAACTATTTCATAAAAATAATTGAGGATTTCCTTATTTGATTTCTATTAAAATTCAAGATTTTCAATTATATTTAAATTGTTCATGATTATCTCGTCAACCTAATATAACACAACCGTAACAAACACTTCAGCTCACACAGTTTGTGTCCAAGCTAGTCTTAATTGCGGAACCTCGGGCTAATGTGGGATTCATGTTGATTATATCAGTTGGATAGCCACCGCTCTCTTTAATTACGCATTAAAATGTTCTCACGGATAAAAGACCACATGTAGGTGAAGGAATTTGTCGTTTCATCATTTTACTATAACACCGCAAGTCTTTAGGACGTAGTTGAATGGTTTATGAACGAATAATAAGGGTGGAATTGGTTTGTTGATTCGCGTAGTTTTCTGAAATGAAAATATTAAATTCCATTATATTTTTGCAATTAGTTCTTATAAGAAATAAGTCATGAAACTAAATAAAAACGACTTAAACAAAACTTGTTAAACTAAATCCATTTTACAACAACAAATACAATGTTTATTTTATTTTATTTCTAATACAATAATGTTTATGAACACGTGACAAAATTAAACCTACTTAATACTTTTCAATGAAATTACGACTATACAATGTAGGTATTTTAAGCCAAGTATGAATGGAGATGAGTGTAGGATGAGTGGCGCGATCTTGTAGTCTTGTTAGTGACTAAGGCCGACATATTCCTTAGACACAGCTGTTAATTAATAGCCCATACAGCTAATTAGTAGATAAATAGAAAGCATGTCTTCTTATAAATTTATATTTTACTTATTTTTATACGATATTGGTTTGATATCTTTAATCCCTCCCTTGAAAAATAAAATGTGTAATTATAATTGAATAAATTATTATTATTATTATTCATAAAAAAAACTACTAACAAACAGTGTCATCTAATGCAAGTTTAAACAAATGTGTTTGAAATTGAATGGATAACTTAAATGATTGCAAATTTTAAGAAAATACAGCAAGATGGTAAACTAAGAGAAAAATTAGATAATAAAGTGTAACCACAGAACTAAATCTAATGATTAAGGGCCAGTAAATAAACTAAAAATGATGTTTTGATTATGTGTGAAATCTTAAAATGGGTGAATTATTACTGTTTCAAATTCGGCGTCAATATCCACAATGGCGTATGTGTAAATGTTAGCACAGTACATTTAGTGAAATACATCACATTCTTTGAGCACTACCTAGTTTGTGTTTCTACATAGCAAAAAGAAAAGGTGTTAAAACCCAATACTTTCCAAAATTGATTTCAATTCCCGGATATTACCCATAAAATATTTTAAATGCCATTCCAACGCTGAGCGTGGTTAGCGGCACTTATTGACCGTAAACATAGAATATACAATAACAATAAGGAAGTTTGTATTCGTTTGTAGGCGGCAGTAGTAGTTATAGGCTATACATACAGTAGCTGTGTGGAATAGATGAGTTTGTGTCCTTGGTGTCTGATACGTTAGCTTCAGTCGTGTTCGCTCATTCAACTAGGACTAGTGTATTGACTATACAGAGTTTTGGTATGAAGCGTGAGGTTAAGTTCAGGTATATAGTGTTCATTTTATTTCGTGTGTGAGATTTAGTGCCATTTATATTTAGGGCCTACTTAAGTTTGTATGTATTTGTTGTACTACTTAATTGAACCCGCTTCTTTACACTTGAACCCTTTGGAACGTCGACCTTTCCTAAGATCCTATCATTAATTGACTATGTCCACTGACAGCACCTACATGCCCAAAATAACCACTAAATGATTATACCGTGTGCAGTGTAATTCATACAATATTTGTTTTATTTTATTAAAAAATCACACAATTAAAATAACAACCTTTTGAGGTGTGGTACAACACCGAAACAATTTATGGGTTAATAACGATAACTTTTAAGAGTAAACACGATTATCACTTTATTTGATGCATATACGGATGTTCGGCATGGACCGGAGAGCAGACAGAATCCTTTAACTGGTCATCACAAAGTATTCGTCATTATTTTTTCAAGTGGATTTTGTTCCTCTTTTTTGTAAATATATAATTGTTTATACTGTTACGATGCTTAATGTTTGAGTTTTTATTATCTTTGTTTTTACCAAAGGACATACATCTGAAAAGAGTGAAAAAACCGCAACGAAAAATAACTCGTTTCTGAACTATATTTTCTATTTTAAAATAAATAACGTTTAGGGAGGGCACGGAGGTTTTCACCGACCAAAGGTCACTTCTTTGAAATCGTTACAACCGTTACTAAACAATAACTGTTATTGCAGGCTGGATGTCACCGCAGGGGATGCCCGGAGATACTCGGCGACCGGTGACATGTCCCTGCAAGTTCCGCAACAACGACGTAAGTTCAGCATCCCCGCAGCGCTCCAGCAGAACCTTCTGGGCCTTCCTCAGAGTTCTGCCCGACGCAGACTCAGCAATGTCAGTGATGTTATTACCAGAAAGTTCTCTGACATCGGCTGGGCGCGTCACTCCAGCATCCCCACTACTGACATCATCCTACAGGTATGCGTATGGTATAATGGTTGCTATAAAAGTCAAAGGCAAGATCTTGGATCCTCGAGGATGAAACAGTTCGGCAAGGTAGTTATTTATGAAGTCACGACACAGGATATCAGAGGACTGGTTCGTTTGTCCAGACACACAAACCCATGGTTGAAACTGGAAGCTTTAAGTTTTTATTCTATTATGCTATTGAATAAATAATGCTTGCTATTTCCACTAAGGGTTCAAACCTTTAAAATCCTTATTAATTAATATTTAATCAATGTGAATTAATAAATGACATCCACTCCCAAACTGGTCGAGGTGTATATTTATTTGTTCCTTGGCAATCTAATACTGTAAGTACTATACTTTTCATATAAGTTACTTTTTAGGATGAGTCGGTGGCTTAGGGTGAATCGGTGGCTAAGTCGGTAGTGTCGGGCCCAATGCAGCGATGTCGTGGGTTCGGATACTGGTCACTGCCCCAACCATTCTATCAAGTTCACCTTCGTACTGTACCGGTTCATTCTTTAAATGCTTTTCTGGATACGTTCCACGCACGGGCAGTTAGTCTATGTGGACCTAGACGGATAAATGCAAGGTTAAGTTTACCAACCTCTGATAAAAAGAAGTGTAAGTGCATGACTATTTCCGAAATCAAACTACTAATGCTGCGATCTATCCTATCTATCTATTGTCCCGATAGCTGGCTGTCTAGTAAGCGTGGTAAGTTTGTGTATGACTGTCTTTGGCATGGCCACAAAAATGAACTAGAATACAGTATACATTCAATCTCCTTTGGTACTACTTGTATGTCACCGAATTTCAGGGAAAGACACTGTGTGGCCAGTACGTCCGATGTAGACTCAAACGGTCCAACATGTTCAACCGCAAGTGCGGGTTGCAACGGTTACGCAGCGCGGCCAGTCTGCCCGCCAGCTACGTTGTACGAGAGGTGTTCCCGGAACTGTTACACATCGGAGTGGAGCTGGAGCGGCTACATCCGGAGCTGTACACTGGAGTCGGACGTCAGGCAAGCTCCACCCCTATCTTGGCGACTGAGAAGGCCATCAACAATGTTATCACAGGTAAGTTTACTGCAACATATTAAAAATTTAGAAAGTGCTTCAGTCGTACGGAGTGCTTTCAGTAAAGAGAATGTGTTAACAATATGTTTGTGTGAGTAGCCTTAAAACGTGATTGAATGATCTAATTTTTATCTTTAAAACTACGATGCACCCTTTTAACTTTGGTAAATAATATTTTTAACTGAATATGAATGAGGGCAAGTATAGAATAGAGTGGGATAATATGTGTGACGTGTAAGGCTAGCTGTTTATAGCAAGAACCTTTTTAAAGCATATTGATCAAAGACAGTAAGAGCTGGGTCCAGTTTCAAACCACCAAAAAGCTGACCGTATTCACTTTTCTCAGGATGGAATAGGCGACGCGACGTTTTGATTACACTGTCGGGCACTCACAGTTTAGGTTACTTTTTAGTATTATCGTACTATTATAGATGCAAACATATGAAATTAATTAAAATCCGTTATAACCCTTTAAGTGTTCAGGGTGTTTCGTAACTCTTTACCAATTTTTATGGTTATTTCATTTATCGTTCATAATGTTAAATGTTAAATATCACATTCATATCCCTTGTAAAAATCAATTGGATACTTGCATAGCGCCATTTTGTATTTTTTCAATCATTGCCTATTTCTAATAACCATGATACGTAGAACTTTGGAATTTAGCAAGAGACGCAATAACAATGTCACTAAATTAGCAAAAAATATAAACATTTTTCAAAAAAAAATTTAAAAGGGTGACCATTTTAATTTTTTTTACTAGAATAACTTAAATCGTGAATCTTATAAGAACACTTTTGAATTTGATCCCTCTTAAAGTGTCAAATGTTCATATAAGTCAAAATTATTACTATAATTTTTTTTTATTACTATAATTTTTTATTTTTTTATAGACCTATCTTTTATATGAATTATACATCTATTTATTAATACAATTCTTTCATCGTATCATATGTATTCTTGTCATGGATTCTTGTATTTCTCACAAGAAGACAGTTTTATTAATAATTTTTAGACAAGCCTAAAGCTATAATGAAACCTCAACATTGAAAATCTAATGCCTAATATCAAGAATCAAGAAATTTTATTCATCATAGGTGTATACAATGTACGATAGTACATGATGCATTGGATCTTGGATGAAGAATATAGGCTGATTCACATTTCCTATGAATGATCAATCTTTTCATGATTATGTAGCAGGCTTAAAAGCTTAGAATAATCGTTTATATAATCTTGCTGTGATTAAATTATTTTCATGATCATTGAAACCATTCTTTCCATCTTAATTGTGTGATCATTATTTTTTTCATGAGCATCATGTGAGCTTTCTTTTCTTTCCTTTGTCAAATTTTTGTCGTTCTTATCATCTTCATTGTATGGTAATTATTGTTATGATTATTATTTTTATGATAATTTTTCACCATTTTGTGAGTTGAACACACACAATAGCTGTGACCGAGATCACCCTATTAGTCACTATAATGAATCATTTGCGCAATGTGTTGTATGAAATAGTTATTTGTGTAACTAGTGGTGAAAGTGGCACTTTGCTGCACACGAGAGCAATGTTTACGCACGAGCCGCAGGCGAGTGCGGAATGATCTCGAGTGCAGCAAAGGCCTTTTTCACTCGTGTTACACATTATATTTTTCCTACAGTCACTATAAAGCATATAAATAATTAGTCTTTCAAACACTATACGACACGTTTTTAGGTTCAGCTGGCAACACAAATGGTGCATTAGAGAAAGTAGTACCCGCGGTCCGTATCACTCCGCTATTTTTCCTCGGCAAGAAATGTGCTCCGCGTTTTGAGAATATAGTTCCGTATGTTTTTATAATTTGAAGTGGTTTCCGTGCCTAAAAAAAATGCTTTAAAGGTATTTTCTTGTTTAGTAAGATCGTAGGAATGTTTTAAAAACGTTTAAAAGAAAAGTCCAGAAAGTTCAGAAATACCGAAACTATAAACACGAAATGACAGGTTAAATCGTAGTTATAATAGTCAATCAGCTGCTCATAGTATTATTATCTTTAAGTGTTGCCAACCTATTTCCAAGCGTACACGGATTACGTGCATAATAGAACCACGCTGTTTTGTGTTGTTTCGTTGGAATCCTGATGTGCGGCAAAGTATAAACCGTACGGCAAAGTATAAACTGTACGGCAAAGTATAAATATGCAGCAATTAGCAGCTTTCTGTACTATAAACAGTACAAGGAAGCCAACTTTGTCGGGTGACTGTAGGAAAAATAGCTTTTAGAGTCTTAGGTAATAGAAAAAACATAAAGACATTTTAACTTAGAGATTTTATAATAATAATTTGTTTCTAGGCGTGGCTCATGAGTTGTCCAACTCAGGGATGACCTGGGCTAAAGTAGTGTCTCTGTACGCTGTGGCAGGAGGTCTCGCTGTGGACTGTGTCAGACAGGGTAAGACAAGAAAGATTCATCAACTCCCCTAGATTGTTAAACTCAAAATGATGTCACAAACATATAATTATAGTAAAGCTGTATGTTCTATAGAACTCTATAGAAGTCACATGGTTTAGAAGACAAATGAACCATTGGTGATCAAAATTGTTCAGATCACACTTTTTTGTAATGTAGAATCCTTTGCGGCATTGTAATTAAACATATAAAAATTATTTTTTGTTAATATTCTCAAAAATATCTTTTAGTCCGGCAGCCAAATGAGGATTTCGTCCCTAACCTGGTTTTGTTCTATTAAGTTTTTTTTATTGTTGTTTTGAGTTATATAGGGTATGTAGACCATAAAACCACCGGGTACTTTTTTGGTACCCTTGGGCAATAGCCGCCATCTTGAAAAATGGCGGAAAACGTAATTTACAGTGTAAGCTTTTACTTAAAACTCTGTTATCAAAATAACCCCAGACAGCACACTTTCTCCTCAGGACATCCCACGGATATTGCGACAGGACAGGATATGCAAGATATCCCATAGTGGTCCTGTGGGCAACTTGGGATATCACAGGATATCCACAGGAATGCCTAATGTCCCCGCCCGGGGATGTCCTACGGATAAGCTCACACGCATATCCGTGGGACATCCGAGGTCATCCCAGGGTAGTCCTCAGGACATTCTCAGGACATATGGGACTACTATGGGATGTCCCTGGGATAAAGTTTGGTCTGGGCCTGAACATAAAAAACACAAAATAATATAGATTTAGTATGAAAAGCTTAATTATAAGTTTAGTAAATTGATTAAATAGTTAATAAACACAAATTTTGAAGAAAAAAACGAGAAAAAAGTTATTGGCCCAGACGGGTTTCGAACCTGGTACCTTCGCCTTGTGAGCCTCTTACCTTACCTCCTGAGCTATCTGCGCTTGTTGATTATGGGTGTATTCAAGTGGTTAAAGAGTAGCCGACAGTTGCAATGGTCGCAATACTTAAAATATTTTTGATACTACAGTATAGGCTATATATGATTCTGTTAATCTGTTTAGGCCTCAAGTAGTTGAATTGTTTTTCTGGTATTTGAATATAGATTATTTAATCACCATTAGATTAGCACTGAAATAATTGATTGTTATATGATTAAAATTAGTTTTTTGTTGTTTTATTAATTTAAAGTTAGAATTAAATTCACATTCCACACAACTATGATAGAACTCTAGTTTTCCTGAACTCAGTGGTAGTAATATGTCAGTAAAGTAAAGTCAACCCTTGCTAGCCATAGTATTAACAAGACATATTTTCAATCTGGGAAACCTTAAACTTTTAAAATAAATTATAAAACCTCAACATCTTAATGCGTGGGAATCTTATTTTTAGAAAAAAAAAACAGACCAAAATTATTTGTTAAATAATGAAGACGGCCCAATTATAAATTCGGAATTACTGAAAATAATTACATCAAGAACAACACTGTAACATATCCAAAATTCAAAAGATTAATTTTTCTAATATTATTTTTTATTTTTCCAATATCCTTTAAATCATCTGTTTTAACTTTGTTTAAAATTAATTTATTAAGTAAATATTTACTTTTTGTACTGGTGTAAACAAAGCCTGAAGATGGAAACCAAGTTTCTGAAAGCACTAGTGAAAAAAACAAATTATTATATATTGGCCTTGTTAAACATTTAAATTTAGATATATTTATTTTTATTTTATTTTTATTTTATTTTATTTTACATTTCAACGGACAACTCCATTTTTTCACTTTTGAACAATAAGAGAGAACTCAAGATACTGACGAACATGCATATGTCCGTCATGGAATATACTGCAAAAAATTAACATGCATATATACTGTACATTTCATCAGTGGTAGTATTTTTTTTCTTCAGTTTGTTACCGGGACATTACGGGACATTACAGGATATCCAGTGGATTTTGTACATGTCCCGGGATGTCATGGGACATTCTGGGATATCCTATGGCATTCGTACATATCCCGGGACTTTACAGGATATCCTGAGGTTAACTTACAAATCCCGGGACATTACGGTATATTGTAGGATATCCTGTGGATTTCGTACTCATCCCGGGATTTTGCGGGATATCCTGAGGATAGCGCACATATCCCGAGACATTCTCAGGACATATGGGACTACTATGGGATGTCCCTGGGATAAAGTGTGCTGTCTGGGACATGCTATCTACAGCAGTGCAAACGCTTTTACAATACTCACACTGAAATTCCATGCAGGAAAATATCATATTTTAATTATATATTGTGTGTTTTAAGGCCAATATTTCTTTTTAAAGTTAATAATTTAGATAAAAAATATGTTCTATCCCTACTTTTTTCATCTTTGTGCTAAAATCTTTGAAAAAAGGTCATGATACATGTAACAAAAGTTGTAGATCTTAAAATTGTGCATCCAATGATCCAATGCACCTATAGGGATCTTTGTTGGATCAATGATAACTTCACAACAATGTGTAAAAAATAACTTTTATTTATAGGGGTATCTAATAAATTAACTTTATTAATTTTAATTATAAAAAAGTCTCATCAAAGCCCTATATCTTTGGTGATTATTATGTTATGTTTTATGTATTTATATGAACACAGTCGGTAACGTACTAGCTTTCATGGAAAATATTAATTATTCGGTTTCAAAAAATTGTAGGTATAGATCATCAATCAATAAATCAATAAGTTTTCTTGTAATTTGTTGATTTGTAAATTGGGAATAGTCCGGAAACCAAACAGGGAATTTTCCTTGAACCCTGTTTAGTTCTATTACGTTTTTTTACTGATGATATTTTATTTTAGTAGTATATAGATGCAGAAAAAAAAAATAAAAATAAAGAAATACTTTAATAAAAAATACACTTTATTAGTTTCCCTTTAGCAGCAAACCAGGTACTTGTTAAACATAAATGTGAATTTAATAGATTAATTGAAAATCAATCCAGGCAAATGGAAATTTGCTCATTCGTCAGGTTTGCTGCTGCAGCGGGGGTATTAACTCATTATTCTACACTGTCGTCATAGTCTTCACTGACGTCTTGAGTTTGTATTTTTCTATTTAAACAGGTATTATATCCACAATGACAAAATACTGTGCAAGGTAAGCCTGAGTTCACGCAACTACATATTTTTCAATTCTGTTCACTGGTGCATATCAAACGCAACAAAAAAAAAAAAAAAACTTGATAGGAATAAACCAGGTTAGGTTCATATCTGAGTTAACCCATAGCTTACTGAGGTTTTCTTCACCAAAATAAATAACACAGCTCATTTAGATCTTGAGATATAGATCTTTAATAAAAGACAGTCCTTAAAAATTTAAACCCTAATGTTAGAGGTCTACAACTCACTTTAAGCTCTACATATTTAAATGAAAATTGTCTCAAATGAAAGTTATAAGTTGACCTAGTGTTTTTAGATCAGGACGAATAACGTAGTACACATAGCAGCTGAGAAATATGTCTTTAAATACAGAAGAAAGTTAAGAAACAACAACAACATTAACAACTTTTATTCTACGTTTAAGTTTATAATTTACCCCAAACACGTCAGATTGCAATAAATAATAGCTGAAAAGAACCGCATTAACTCACTGAGTATTCCTATACCACAACATACAATATCATGAGACACAATCATTAACTAAAGATAAATTGTTAAAGAAAATCAAATTTTTATTGTTTGGGGTCCGCAACTCATGTTCAACTCAGCCGATTTTAATAGTCAATGGCTTGGATTAAAGCCTGTAAATCACTGAGTATTCATAGTATATACCATTTCAGATTACGTAATTATAACCTGAGATAATGTCTTTAATTAAAGACTAATCTTGGAAAAACTAAAATGTTATTTGGTTAAAGTTCTATAAATCCCCTCAAACCCGATAGATTTGAATGACCAATGCCTCAAATGAAATCCAGTAGTTTGCTGAGTATTTTATTATAAAAAAAAACATAACATCGCATAATCAGTACTCGAGTAACAATCTTTTTTTCAAAGAAAATTATCCAACCATTAAAATCTTTGTTAGTCTTGTAATGCACCTCGACTCGTTCGTTTTCAGTGATCTACATGTCAAATGGATGCCAAATGTTTACTGAGTGTTTTTATTGCAATACATACAACATCTAATAATAATAACTCAATGGGTTGGTTAAAATTTAAACTTTTTATTTTGAAAAAAAATGTTGTTTTATTGCAGTGAAGATGAATAGATCAGCCTTAAAGTCCTTAAATATAAACAGTTAATAGTTCAAATTAAATTTGATAATTTTACAAACATTTAATACCAAAAACAGCCAGAGAGAAACGGCGGATGGTCTCAGGAAAGATGTTAAAATTTTATTGAACATATAAAATATCCTTATTTTACATTGAAAATCAATAAAAAAAATTATTTTCTAACGCTTTGTTCTGGCGTTACCCTTGATCCAACAAATATCCAATTCGATGCCAAAATTTAAAGCTCTACAAACTTTATAATGTATATTATAGTCATATTTTGAGTAATTAAGGCGCAAAATAGAAATAAAAATAAATATGACATTATTTTTTTATAAATTATAAACTTTGAAAAGTAATACTGACCTTAAAACAAATTATATATATTTAATATATGGTATTTCTGAGTAGGGAACTTAACCATTAACATTTTAAAATAACATGCATTGTTCCATCTTAAATAGTTTTTTAATTACATTGGTTTAAGTAAAAGCTTACACTGAAATTTACGTTTCCCGCCATTTTCCAAGATGGCGGCTGTTGCCCAAGGGTACCAAAAAAGTACACCGTGGTTTTAGGGTCTACTTACCCTAGATATCACATATCAACAATAAAAAAAACTTAATAGGACAAAACCAGGTTCGGGTCAATTCTGCCGAACTATTTGTGTTTGTTCATGTTTTAAACTTCATTTGGTGATGTTTAGCAAAAACAATTGGAGAAGTAACTTATAAACTAGAATAAAATATCATATAGAACAGAATAAATTATAAAGTGACAGATTGTGATTACAGTACTTTTAGATGGCACATTGAAAATGTATTGTCTTTAAATCATTTTTTTGTCACACTATAGCGAAATAGCTATTTTTTTATGCATGGATTGTATGGTTAGGGTAGTTCTATTTATTCGTTAACAGAATAAGCTTAACTCATTTTTATACGTCAGTTCAACTGTTAATTTCTTCCACTGATTTTTCAGGTGCTTTAGTGATTAAATGTACAATATGGGTTTTGTAGTGTCTCCGGCTTCAGTGCATAGCACATCAAAACATATTGGTTTGGCCCGCTTACCCTAAAACATTTGAATTATCTCTTTTTTTACAATACTTCTCCTGAAAATGCCATTGACATAAACAACAAGAAGAACATAAATACAGATAATTTTATATCAAACATCAAAGGAACCATTTGGTAATCACTAGCAAAAAAATTAAGCAAATTTGAGAGGGAGAGGATGGGGTTTAATGTAGGGCTGGAGATACTACGAGAAGGCTTGACTTTCGTTAGACTTAAATCATGTTTCCAGGACACCCTGAATTTCTACAATCACTGGTTGAGTCTGTAGGAGAAGCTCTTGAAGATGACATTGCTGAATGGATAGCCCACAATGGAGGCTGGGTTTGTACATCATTATATATTTTTATATACAAATATTTTTAGAGGAAACTTGAAGTTTGAACAAATCTTAACTATCCATCCGTATTGGCATGATACATTTTTCATTTGTTTCTTTTTGTTAACCAATTTCCCACTCCCATCACGTACCTTTTGCATTTCATCAGAAATTGGTGGGGAAATGTGTGGTAACCAAACTGGTCCAGTGGTTGTTAAAAATCCATTTTACAATATTTTATCATTAGACAAATATGATTATTTCAACCAACTACAAGTAACTATAAGATTATTCTAATGTCTGTGCCGTAATAATGTTGTTTGGCAGTATAATGTTTATCGATATTTGAAAATTATTTATCTGATTTGTTGTTTCCTAGTATTGTCAAAATCCTTATCAAACAATTAATTAACCACCATATTTTTTTCAAAGAGGTTGGGGGCCTCATCTTACATTTGCTAGTCCAAATAGGCCTAGAGCCTGTCCCAAATAATGGATCCAGAAAAGCAAATGTTGAGCTGGTACAGTACAAGGGTGAACTGTGCTTATTAAATCAAATATTTAATTTGTAAATTTAATTACAAATTAAATACAGCTAGGTCAGGGCCACTGTATGTTCTGCAGTTTTGTTACACAGATTACTGCGCTACAGTATTAACTGTTTTTCAAACTCAAGATCAACCTGTTTAAGTTATTTTCTTTTTAAGGTGTTGCATTAATATATACAAAGGGTATGTTGTTGCAAAATAAAAAACATAGGGCTGTGGCTGTGAATGGCACTGTGTAAGTCATACCCACATTTCTGTCAGAACTATCCATGGTACAAACTGATTCCAAATGACTAGAAGTGTACATTGTGAAGAGAGGAAAGAACACCAATTCATTTCACCTCATGTTTTCCACAGACTGGGCTCCTGTCTTACTGCAAGCCCCCCAACAATGAGATCTCTCTGGGTGGTTTTGTGGCTCTGTTGGGAGCCGCAATGACTACGTTCCTTGTGGTGGTTGTACTCCTGCGATGGTACGGGAGATTCAACTACTTCTAATGTAAGATATTTTGTATTAATAAGTATTGTTAAAAATAAATTTTTAATTTTAAAAGTTTACATTTTTTTGTGAGAGTACCCATTAATAACTACGGTGCACTACAACTTGGCTACTTTTCTCCTGGTTTTTCGTTTTTGTAAATGGTTTGGTGTTTCGAAAAAGTGTTAAGGACGTTCAGATGTTCTATTAGTACAAAAACAAGGAATTTTAAGGCTATAAAATAGATTTAAACATGTAATTTTGAGTTTTAAACATGAACAACGAATAAATAAAAAAAATAATAAAAAAGCAAAAAGTAAATTACAAGCGCTTCTATTAGGAATGTGGAATTAAACTTGTTCTCATGTACATTATTTAAATTGGTTATGTTCCCCATAGAAAGACCCTGATTTGGCTACCTTTATCCTCCTATCGTGCCTGACATATGAGTCCCAGTTTCAACCAGCCAACATACCATAAGTCTAAAAGCTCTCTCACATGCCTAATAACTCTGTTTATTTCATTTAATTTTGTATCCTCTTCGTTTTGCTGTTAAGAGGGAAAATAAGGTCTGTTATTGCCAGTACATATTCCACACAGCTGGAGAATAACCTTAGTTGATTAAAATGCAAGTTATTCAGGTTCAGCATATTCTCTTTCATGACACCATGTTTGGATTTGAATTTTTTCTCTATAATAAATTGAAACTTGTTTTACTCATATAAGTTATTTTGTGGGAAATTCTACCATGGTTGTTGGATATCACTCACTAATCCTGTTTTGCGAGATTATGAGAATTGAGGATTATGTTCTAAACTGAGGTAAGGGAATTGGAATAGTAGAGTGTTTACACTGCTTCAATCAAACCACTGACCACCCAACTTGTGGAATAATTTTGTCTCCATTTTACAATGAGACTATATAGGAATAGACTGAAATAGTTGCAGATCAAAAAACTTCAACTCAAACAAAATATAAAAAGCTTGTGTTAACAAAGTTTGTTAAATGTTTAGAAAACCTTTGCAAACTGCTGATGACTCAGAGGCAAGAGTCAGGTGAAATTCTTGTTACTTGATACACAAGCCTAGCCACAAACCAACCTTGAGTTTACCACATGAATGGCTATTATAAAATGCAACAGATGTGAACTGTAAAATAATACAATGTTTAGAAAATTTAAAATGATTAATTCCAATTCCTTTATTAAACGTGCTTTGAAATCCGCACTTTTATTTAGATTTCATATTTGTCTCTGGGTTGTCAATTATTAATTGATAATTTTAATATACTTTACTTTAAAAAGGCAACCATACAAATGTAGGTATTTTAAGCCAAGTATGAATGGAGATTAGTGTAGGATGAGTGACGCTTTCTTATAATCTTGTTAGTGACTAAGGCCGACATATTCCTTAAGACACAGCTGTTAGTTAATAGCCCATACAGCCAATGGCAACGGACCTACAGTTTATAGTGGAATCCGAACCATGTTTTTGCCTTGTAATAAATGAATTGTTCTAGTTATCAGGACAGTACTGCGGATAGTCGCAGTACTCACTAGTGCGGACTCTAAAGCAGCGGCTACACTTGCCCGATTCGGTCCGGTCCGGCCCGAATTTGTGAGGGGTGGCTACACTTGTACGAATCGTTTCGGTCCGGCCAGAAGAGGTAGCTACACTTGTATGATATTTTGGAGGACAAACACGAGCACGGGGCACAAGAAAAGCAATACAGAAAGTGTTTAGTCAGGACCGATTAACCGAATAGGTACGGTAGTCACGTGCCTAGGGCACAAGGCAATTGGCTTTCGGTGGGTGCCAAAAAAATGAAAAATTAAAAAAAAAATTGGTTGTACTTGCATGCAATCGCGGTAAACTTCCTATAACCCTTCGCGGCCGTGTAGACATTGTAATCGTCTCCGAATATTGCGGCAAAATTCAGACTATTTTCCGCGGTCGTGTAGACATAATTATCGTCTTCCATGATCGAGGCAATATGTGAACATAATTGCCTAAATTCTTAGGCCTATTTCCTACAAATAACTATTTTTCCTAATTGAATTCATCACTTTCGTAGCCGAGTGCTCACGGAACCACCCGATCCTCATCTGAATTTCGGGAGTAGGTGGCTACACTTGTCGGATTCGGTCCGGTCCGCCCCGAATGCTTCCGCCAAATGCGGATGAATGCTCCCTGGACGATTGTTCCGCGCCGAACCGGACCGTACCGGACCGAATCGGGTAAGTGTAGCCGCCTCCATTTAAAAACATGGGAAGCATTGTTCCGTATTTTGGAGGACCGGACCGAATCGGGTAAGTGTAGCCGCTGCTTAATCCACACTAGGGAGCATCCATCCACAGTGCATGCCTATAAATATCCACAATTTGTGACCTCCTAGTAGCTGGATTAAAAAAATAAGAAAAATTGTTCAAGAACTTAAGTAAAGAAAACGTGTTAAGTTAATAATATTATACTTTATGTGTTATATGTCTTCAAAGTATAGCTATCTGAAACTATTCAAATAAAAAAACAATATAATCCTACTCAGTTTTTAACATGAGGTAAGTCTGTATAATTCAATCATAGTTTAAAGGTTTAAACAGTTTAATGTCTCTCACAGTTGACAAGCCGCTGTAATCAGAAAGATGAGTGATTTTCAAAGAGAAGCATCAATCTTGATGGCCAATGTTGATGTCATCAACTCGGTAATGGATATCTTCAGTTACAATCCGCTTTGCTAGTCACTGCCTAATGGCTTGTATCACAGATAAACATTTACTGCTAGTCATTGGTCATACAAGCCCATGTGTCATTGGATTATCGGATTGACTTAATCCTTTCAGTACAAAGTTCAATTTTTTAAATGCCAACTATTATCGTTAATTTATTTAATTTATGTTTTTCTCTACAGACAATATACACTGCATTGATTTTACATTAAGGGCTATCTATTTCATATTGATTGCTTATTAGATTAAAATTTACTAAAATTTATAATGAAGCTTATAAAACATTAAATAAAATAAATGGTGTGTTATGTCCAATTTATTTCTCATTCGCCTCATTGTGATTTGGATTCCCTAAATTCCATTCAAATTACACAAATCAAGATTTAATGTATTATATTTAATAATATTCTTATATTCTTTTAATATTTTAGTGTTACACTACCTGAGGCAATATTTCTACTGATAGTGAAAATCTAAGAGAAAGCAATTTCTTTCATCAGATCTAACCAAAAAATGACTTTCTACCAATATAGACTGCATTTATAGCAAATTAAACCTAGTACTTCGTGCACAGAAAAATTAAACATACCCAAATAGAGGGCCAGGCTTTAAGTAACCATGGGATTGCAGCGCAGCTAGAACAGCTTATTGTGCACAAACATACCCAAACTTGACGTGCCTTTAAAATAAATGGCTAAAAGTCAAAGGATTTGAATGGTATAAAATCTTTATACAACAAGTAACAAAGTAATAAAACACTATTTTGACATATTGGTATTTCAAATTTTTGTCTGCTTTTTCGGATTTAATTTATACCTTTCTCTACCTTTAATTTTAATCTACCTTTCGATAGATAAAAAATTATCTAATTTAGTAAAACCACATTGGCTATCTGTTTCAGCTAAAAAAAATATAGGTCTCATTAGGTTACATGGATAAAGGCCTTTTCACACCGGCGTACTGGACGTACTGTACGTTTGGTACGGCCAGTACGTCCAGTACGCGGTCCTTTCACACCGCACAGAAACTTCCAAAACGTACACTTGTTCGTTTGCAGTCAGACAAGTAACACTGGCTGAGCACGTGGTTTTGAAGTGTTCACTGCGCATTCCCGAGCCCATGTACGCCACGTACGTTTTAGAAAAATCGCTCTCTGAGCGATTCACATAAGACCATCACGTACGTAGTGGACGTAGTGGACGTTCTGTACGCGCGGTGTGAACGAGCTCATATGATAACATGGGCAGCGATTTGTTGAAAAAAAAACGTACCAAACGTACAGTACGTCCAGCACGCCGTTGTGAAAAGGCCTTTAAACCAGACAAAACAAATAATCTGAAGCTAAGTTCTAAACAAGCATCTTACTGTAAGAGGTCAAGAAGGTATAAAAAAAGAGTTCAATCTTCTTAACCAAAAAACTATATTGTATAAAACGTAACTACATGTATCACACTTGACGTTCCTGAGTATAAAAATATAAAATATAACAAAATAGTGATGGTTGTAAAACAATAGGTAGTAATATAAGTTGTTGCAGCTCATTTTTATCGCTTTCTACCTTTTTTCTTGTCCATCGCAAAGCCCCAGTCATCATCAGGCTCCACAGGTGGTGGGGAGGGAGGAAGTACGTCGTCGATGTTCTCACAGTTGGCGTAGTGTGGCACCAAATCACTGCCGCCTATAATGTGTGGAATAGCCCTCTTGTTTAGTCCTGTAACCTGTGAAACGTAAATTGTCTTAATATAACAATCACATGCTGTAAATGAAAATCTGCTATGCCAACCTTTAGAAATAAATTAAATTTGCAATAGAGCCTTACCACGAAAATGCTATCTAAAATAAAAATGTTCTCCATTATGCCATTGAAAGAAACTATGCGTTTATTGTGAAACATTGGAAAATTTGCCCATGAATGTCTGGGTAAGGCTTATTCCCAATCTTAAAATTCAATAGAGCTCTACCCTCCAGCTTTCAAAGTTAGGATGTTAAGCCTATGAGAACTATTTTATTGGTTGATTTTTGTCGCATCCGGGCCTAGATGCGAACAAAGAAGCAGGTACTCAAATAAAACACACAGTCAATATTTAAGAAAAGCCGTATTGGCGTGCGGGAGCCGGTGAGGTAGGACGACTGACTGTACATACATACATAGTGTGTCGGGTGATCATAGTAGCAATGGGAACGGAAGGTGGTGTGATGAAAAAACCAATGGGGTAAGTTTATTCAATCAGGCCATATGACTTCACATTGTATGATCCAATTGTACATGGATCAAGCTAGCAGATTAAATGCAAGCAACCATGAGAATTATAAATATGCAATGGATTTTAATACTCTACA